ATTTGGAGATTTGATGAGCTTCGGCCTAAATGATTCAAGGTGAATCTCTCTCTCTCTCTCTCTCTCTCTCACACACACACACACACACACGCACACGCACACACACAAACACGCGCGCTCGCGCACCCAGATGAGAAAGCAGAAATTGCAACCCAGGGTTGTTATTGATCCCTCTTTCCCGACTAAAAATGCTCTTGAATACTGAGCTGTCTTGTGGAAGTAATTTCGATTCGTACGATTCCTAAAGTTCTAGATTTTATGACATGGTTTTGTCGCCATTTTTGATGAATTTGGATGTGATTTCTTACTTTCGAGTTGCAGCTGTAGGATGATCTTTAATTATGCTCTTTGACAGGAAGCTGTTAAGTTGAATTGATGGCCTCGTCTCTTTTTTATCTGAAAGCGCTCTCCTGACCCAGTATTGGATAGAAATTTTCATAGAGGATATTGGTGAGGGTTCTGAAAGGAGTACCTCAAGAAACATGAGCCAAATGGGATGTTAGATCAGGTCTCAAGCCCAGTTAGGAGAGAAATAGCCAACAGGTATGCTTTTGTCACTGCTTGGAACCTTACTGCTGTCCATTTATTTTACCCAGTACTGTTTTTAATGTGTGTCCGACATCATCACATGGAATACTTGAACTGAAGAATGGATAAATTCTATATATGATTGAGGTTCCATGGTCATTTTCCTGACATGCATTCATCTATTTTCACTTATACTGGTGTTCATACAGCAGATGCTATATTTTTACAGAAATGAGGTTTTGGTTTATGTTGCTTGCTTCACTCTTTTGTGGGTAATTGACATGTTTTGAGTGTATATCCTTTCTATGCAGAAAAACATCTGCCAAAATATTTTGTAATCTGAAAACTGAGAAGCATGAGGTGTGTTGAGTTGAATGGGATGTTGGTCAAGTGTATCGTGTGTGAAGTTAAATGGATGAAAGTGCACAGAAGTAGAGTGGTTCGCCCAACTGAAGAGTTGGGTTACTCCACTGTACTGGAGGTTCTTTCTCTTTGGAGTATGTTGTTTGAGAAAGAAGATGAATACAGTCGTTCTTTTATAGGGCAGTGCATTGGCTCCCTTTTTATACACTAGCTATTATTGTGATCTCTAACCAAATTGTCGGTGAATATTTGGCCGTTATAGGATCTTTCGCCTAGGTGTGACGTAGAGTTCTAGAAGTGATGATGTGGCCTTCTAGAAGTGGTACCTTCTTGCCCAAGGTAGGATTCTCAATGAAAGTCCCCTTTTACCCCTTCTGGCTGCTTTTATGTTGCTAAGTATTTCTTGGGCTCCCCCAGCTGATCTGGGACCTTCCACGTCAGCTCAGCATCTGGTGATCAGGACAAGTTACCTGACTCGTACCTAGTCCAAACTGGACATTCTCTTTTGGTATCATCACCATCTATATGTCCTAGCAACCTATTTGTCCGTAATGGAACTCAAACTTTATGGGAAAAATTCGTAGTATTAAGATGCAATATCTTGGTCGAAACCTTACCACCTCAGATGTTCGAAAGCTTTTGTTTTGCTATCTTCTCTTTTGTCAAGGGTGTGTATGGGCAGTAGGAACAGAGTGGGTGCATTTTTCCCCCTGATTTTCGCGGTTACCCCATTCCATGCTCAGTTACCTAGGAGTGGTTTTTACGATTGAACACAATTTATCAGACAGAGCATATGTTCCATGAAAAGAGTTTGGTGCAATATTGAATGTTAGTTTCTGCGTAGCTTCTGTAGTTAAATAAAACGTGCAAAAGACTAAGGTCCTGTTTCTACATGTTCCCGAGGATTCTTTTACCTCATAAGCAAACAGTAATGTGTCATGGATGAAAGAAAAGAGGCAAGCTGTCTGTACTGAACAGAGTAGAAAAGGACAGTGGCAGGACCAACTATTTGAAGCTGTGGGAAATTTTTTCCAACTTTCAGATAAAAGACACTGTCCTCTCATTGTAGATCAGTATTGACGAGCGTTGGAATAATCTTTAAACACCCTCGAAAATCCTTGATTGCCTCAAATGCACGAAAGCAGAGACAATAGGACAGTCTTCCAGCCTCCACATATAACAACCATGTATCCAAAGTTAAGAAAACCATTAATACCCGTAAAAGAAAATGTCTTTAACATTCTCAACCAACCCTTTTGATACCCATCTTTGCAAAGATGTAATATGCTTGGAAAGCCCTTCTCTTCTTGTGTACATGTTATGAAGCCCAATGAGTCTGATCGTTAGAGTGATTTTTAATGTTTAAGTGAGGAGTTTAAATGTCTTGGCAAATTTTGGGGGGGTTGGTTGAGCAGACATTGCTAAGAAAATGACTTTTCAGATATGCAGTGACTGGTGATTGATGTTCCGTGGAGGAGAATGGTGACAAGTAGATATGGGATGGAGGAATTGGATGTCCAACAAGGTGGAGATCACTTGTAGGGTGGGGCTATGTAAGAGTATGCCCTCGGGGAATCAATTTTTTCCTAAATTGGGCAAGGCGCCTCTATTAACTGTCAAGGGTCTGAGTCCAATAGCGATTCCTTTTTTTTCTTTTTTCTTCATGTGTATGTTTCATTCTCAATTTTCCAGCTATCACAATCAGCTACCTGTGCTTTCCAATTTCTCAGTTTAATCATAGATAAAAACTACCAAAAAATAATGTAATTTTCGGATTCCTAAGTTATGGCAGTTTAAGTTTCTAGTTGTCTCCAAACGGATTAGTTTGACTAATTCCACTTTCTACTGGAGTCTCAGTTCTGGAAGTTATTAAAATGGGAATCAGAGTAAGTGTACATTCTTTGGATCTATTTAGTACAAGAAAACACACATGATTTAGGAACTTACACTGTTCCAGTTAATTTGTTAACATTTGCTGAATCTGTTGATTAGAATCTAAGGGCACCTCAATTTTTATCGACCTTCGCTTGTATTAGAGTTCTAATGTTTACTGTTCTAAATTTTCTTGTTTATGAAGCCAGGAAAAGCTAGCAAAATACTTTTCACAAGTTTAATAAAATCTCCTATTCTCAATTGACATAAAGAACATCTTGGCTTGTTCATGCCATGCTGATTATGACATGACATAGTATGGGTGTAACTTTTTTTTCCCCCTTTTTGGCACACATGCTGTTGAGCACATATTGTAGATGTGCGTATTAAAATAAGAGGCAAATATGATTTATGTTAATTTTCATACAGACACATAATCATATGCCCCTTTGTTGCACAAAGTCCTTAAAATTACTGGAGAACCCATCACTAAACCCTCTCATAAGAAGAAAGGTGGCAGATTCCATAATTCAGTCTTGTTCTTGAGTTCTAAGAATGGATCAATGCATGAATGTGATATGAACCCTAGAGTTATAGTCTTACACTAACATCTGACTTGCGTAACGTAGTTCATGACTTAGGCTGGCTCCTCTACTCATCAGCTGGCTTCTTGATTTGTTTTCTTCATTTCACTCACTGTCCTTGCCCCTGTTGTCTTTCTCTGGGGCTGTTTTCCACGACATTCCTCGTTTCTGCAAAATTATACTTTCACAAGAATTGACAGTTAAAACCCCTTGTTCTCAAGAAGCCTGGTACTTGGAAGGCCTTTTTGATATGCTTGAGTCGATGCACACCAATGTTTCTTCTGCAGGTCATTTTTTTTAAAAACATATATGATAACTGCGTGTTGGTCTTTCTCCCAATTTGGCTTGTAATAGGGATCATATGTGAAAATCATTGTTATATTGAGGACTAATTTTTGTAGATATGTAGAATGAACAGTTGGACCACTGTACACCGCATATTGTCGAACAATTTACGCTAGTTGGCTTATGTAGATCTCAAATTTGGAACATGTTGAGGTATTCATAAAACAAGAGTGATTCTTTTTAAAGGAGAAAGTTTTTATATGTTTGAGGTATTGTAAAAGTTTTTGTTTGGTTTGAGGTATTTGTAAAATGAAAGAGGTATTTTTGGGGACAAAAAAACATAGAGGAGTAATCATGTTATTGACTATTGATATTTTCTGTTGTAGCACTGGTATTCCTTAATTAATGATACATGATATTTTTAGAATGAAAAAGATCCCTCTTTACTTTTGGAGTTTTGGTTATGTTGGAGTCATTCATGTAACTATGTGTATTTCATGTTTAGTGTTTAACGTGCAGTGGGTCTTTGCCAATTATCTTGTAGGTCTTTAACTCAAGTAAACACAATAAATAATAACTCTGCCAGAAATAATTTGGAATATGAAATCAAGACTAATCTAATTTGGTGAGTTGGAGTTCAACAAACTAGATAATATTTTAACACATGTCCTTCACCCTGTGTTTGTTTTCTTGAGTTAAACTGATTGTGTTTTTTCTTTGTTTTGTCTATGTTTGGAGTTCCAGTGTAAACTAAAACCTATCAATGACTCTTAAACATTTAGAGAAGGGAGGAAAATCCTTATGATGATTATTGTAGGGTTGATTTATAGATGTGATGCGAGAGGTGCAGAGCTCAGCTTTCTTTCAAAGTTTGAGTAATGGACACAGGATACCACTTTAATTAAACTTATCTTTTAAAATTTGTATGGATCATATAGACGATCTTTTGTTATCATGTAAACTATGCTGTTCTAGTTGTATACATATGCCATCTTATTAACCTTGTCCTTTGAAATGGATGTGGAAGATCTATTACTATCAGGCAAAATATATTGTTCTCATAAACGTTGTTTTTCTGCCATTTCTGCATATAGTTATACCTTGATGCTTTAGTCAAAATAAAATCCGAATCTCAAGAAGCGACAAATGTTTCCTTTTAAATAAAGTAATAAAATTATTAAAGCAACTCTAAATCAGAAGATGGATACAAGTGATCTTCCTTTTCCTAATTGCTTTGTTTATCTACTCCTCAAGACACATGCTTATGCATTTTCGTGTCTCACTTCCTGGTTGTTCTTTCTCCCTTTGTTATGCCTTACGCCTTTTTTAATTCTTTTGATACCAGTTATATATAGGTCATCTGTTGCCATGAAGACTCCTGGAGATGATGAGATTGATGTGGAAAGTGGAAAGTTGGAGAAATACGGAGAAAAAACAATAAAAAGTAACACAATAGTTAAAGTACCCAACCGGGCCTTATTATCTGGCCTTGCTTATTGCATTTCTTCCTGTAGTATGATACTTGTAAACAAGTGTGTTCTTTCCAGCTATGGTTTTAATGCTGGGATATCTTTGATGCTTTATCAGGTAACCCTCCATATTCTATGTATTTTGAATACTTCCTGATCAAGGATCAAAATATCGTTTCGAAATAGTCGAAACATCCGAAAACGTTTCCGTTTTCAAAGAGACCGAAACGAATCAGTGATGGAATCGAAATTCTAATACTTCGAGGTGTTCCATAATGTTTTGAAATGTTTTGTTATATTTCAATGCATTTGCACAATTATTTCAGAATATTTCAAGGTATTTCAAGATATTTTAGTATATTTCGACCAATGTTTTAAAAAAATAATTTTTAAATTTTTTTATTTTTTTTTTCATTCTGTTTTTGAAATGGTTCGAAGTGTTTCTGAAATATGTCGAAATGTTTCTATTTCTTAGGTAACCGAAACAATGCACCAAAATTAAATTTTGATCCTTGTTCTCGATGACTTCATTTGTCATTGAATTGTACTAATTAAAATGTTTTACTTTTTGAGAGACTAACGAACTTTCTTTCGTATATGGGTGCAGAATTTTGTGTCGGTGGTTGTTGTGTCTATGTTGAGCATTTTTGGTGTAATATCGACAGAACCACTTACTTGGAGATTGATTAAGGTCTGGTTACCGGTGAACGTTATTTTTGTTGGGATGCTAATCACAAGTATGTTTAGGTATGAAGTTTTCCACCATCTTTTCCTCCAGCTTAATATTGTAAACCTCTAGCATACTCTATGATTTACCATGCTTATCATCATATCTATAGAAATATACTTTTTTCATTTTAGACCATTTCCATTTTTACACGTCCTTTGACTTGTTCAAGTCTTATTTTGGCCAAAGCACTACAAAATAGAATTTAGGATCATGAGAATAGTGCAAAGCAAATCTAGTTGAGCAAACTAAAATCAGATACAATGCAATTGTAATCCAAGTCGCTATTAGAAAAGCACATTGCTTTATATTTAGTTCTTTTCTGGTTGGTGAGTTAAATATTACCATGAGTTGTGCTTAAAGTTTGCACATAGTAGTGTTTCATGTAACTAATTTTACATTTTTCTCTTGGTAGTTAAAATAAAAATTTGTTGGGCTTGATGAAGATGTACTGGCAAGGATCGAAATTTCGTTTCGAAGTACCGTTTCGGTCAGCTCAAAAATGGAAACGTTTCGGAAACATAATGGAAACGCAGAAAAAATATGGAAACGCATAGAAATACAAATACAATCCATTAATTTATAAAAATAAGCTAAATAATTGATTAATTTAACATATTTATTGGGTTAACATCCATTTTAATGAAATAAACACATTTTTACATAATATTAAGGTCTTATAATACACATGAAATGTTAATGAGTACATATTTACATGGCTACATCCATCCCCCCGTGGAGTGTCGAGCAGGTTCATACATCGGTGTAGGCTCTAGGTAGCTACTTAGAGAAACTACATATGTGACATAAATATGATGACAATAGTTACTCCAACTCATATTATTACGGTAATATTATCCAATTAATAATACTATTTTATTATAATACTAATAATGAAGAGTATCAAATTAAATTAATAGTACTTAAGTATACTTAAAAATTAAATGTAATTGCAGTGGGTATTAAATATAATTACAGTGGGTATTAAATGTAATTACATTAGGGTATTAAATATAATTGTTAATACTTATAACCAAAAAAAAAAAAAAAAAGCAAAAGACTTGCATAGCAATGGGGTATTAAATATAATTATAATGAGTATTAAATATAATTACAGTAGGGTATTAAGTGTAATTATTTATTCTTATAACAAAAAAATTATAAAAAGCAGAAGAGCAGTGAGAATTAAATGTAATTATAGTGGGGTATTAAATATAATTATAGTAGATATTAAATGTAATTACAGTGAATATTAAATGTAATTATAATGGGATATTAAATATAATTATTCATAGTGAACCGAATATATCACTGTTTCGATCGAAACGGTCCGAAACAGTGCCATTTCGACCGTTTCGGTCGAAACACTGGAATTTTGTGATTTAACTATTGTTTCGTTTCGGAGTGTTGAAATTCCGAAACGTTTCGGACTTGTCGACACGACATTTTGATCCTTGTGTACCGGTGAATAAGACTATAATTTTTGGCCTTGCATTTTTTTCTCTATTTTTTTTCTTTCATATTCTTCTTTTCTCATGCTCACTGAATAACCTTTCAAATTTACTTGTCTATTTATTTTGCATCATCATGAGAAAACACTGACCAGTGCTCTCTTGCTGATGAATTTTGTTCTCATCATGATCAACACATGGATAACCTAATCATCAGTCGTCAGAGACTTATTAGCTATACTGAATCATAATCATTGGCGCTAGGTTACAAATGTGTGGATGGAAGTTATTACTTTGTAGCCCAAAATAGTTGGGATACAAGGTGATATTATTGATCGATTTCCTGTGCGTAGACTATGTACTTGCTTCAAACTTGTGCTTTTCCTTCTGGTTATCTTCAGAATTATAATTATTTGCCTTTTCTTTTCTTTCCTTTTCTTTTTTTGGTCCCCAGGGGTGGGTGAGTTTTACCTACTGATTCTTAAATTTATTGTTCCACATGGCTATTTGAACTCTGCATCTGGTTGGTCCCATGTAAGCCATCTATATGCCGAATATCACTGTGGGTTGGTAGAAATTTGCGCCATCTTTTCTGTCTCTTTTTTGTTTTCTTCTTGAATTTTCTATTGTAATTGATGGAACAGTTTTACCATTTCAATGGTATGAATTACAAAAATTCAGCTACTTTTTTCGGGATAAATTCTAGTTGCCTTGTTGGCATGCATGGAATGTGGCCATTTGCGTGCAAAACTGCTTGTTGTGCTGCATATCCCACTATTAATTTTCTGGACTTCATCTTGTTTCTAATTACTCAGTATAAGCCACGGCACTCCGACTTTTAGAATGTTACTTAATAGTGAGCCACATTGTTGCAGTCTGAAGTACATTAATGTCGCTATGGTGACAGTCTTGAAGAACGTTACAAATGTGATGACAGCAGTTGGGGAAATGTATCTATTCAATAAGCACCATGATACCAGAGTCTGGACTGCTTTGTTCTTAATGGTATGTGGACTGGTTGGTAATTTGCTGGGATCTTGAATTTTTGTGGTATTTTAAAATGTCTTCTGCGTGCTTTTTTTTTTTTTGCATAAATTAGTTTAAACGAACATAATCATGGAATTATTTTTTGTTCAATTGTTGTCCTATAAAAGGCATTATGGAACATGTCAACTTCTCTCGCTTGGATATCATCCCCACCTTTTTTTTTTCTTTTCTGAAGAGGCATTGCACTTCAATTCTGCAGATTATTTCAGCAATCTCTGGAGGAATCACAGACCTATCTTTTCATGCTGTTGGCTATATATGGCAGTTTATTAATTGTTTCTTGACAGCATCATATTCTGTGAGTATATTTGTTTTTTTTTGGAATCAAGAGTGTTTAAAATTTTTATTGTTTACATTGACCTTATACATAGTTACATACAATGACCTATTCGTATGGATGTTGCACATAATTTCTTCCGGTTTCACTGGCCTTTTTTGCTATTTGCTATTTCCTTCCACACCCTGGGCCAGTGGTGCTCAGGGGGATGGGGAGGATTTCTTGAGGTTTATTGATCCTTTAAAAAACATCTGGGTTAACTTAACAATAACTGTAAGACTTAACAATAACTATAAGTAATTACTAGTGAAACATTTGATAGTCTGGTGTCAAATAAATTTGGGAAAATAAGGATTGTTTTGGACATGGAGGCTATGACTAATATTATGATTTGACATGCAATGAATGTAAACTTCAGATCCCTGATTGTAGGAGTACATTTGTGAAAGTGTTTCATTTTCTTCGCTTTTATAGAATTGCATTTTATTGAATATTGAAATATATGGCCTATTGGCCTTACTCTGCTTATGATGATTGTTTTACCTTTCTGATTTGAGGAGTGCATCTCAGCCATATTCCAACTACATCTTTTTCTTTTTCTTTTAATGATAACCATTCCACCTACTTGAATGTGATGCTAATTCATGGGAAAGTAACAGTTACTTGTTAGACATTGCAGTTTGATGCTTATTTTAGCATAAATGACCAAGTCATCATCTGCTTAATAAACAAAAAACAATAGAAATACAAATCTATTGGTTAGGATGAATCCCTTGCCATGAAGATTTGGATTTCGTACCATTTTTGTGCCCCTTCTACTCAAGTTGGTGTATCACTCTTGCACAATGTGGTCATCTGAAATGAAAAGAAGGTATATAAAATGCTATTGAGCTTGGACCTCAGAAACTGTTTATGTTACAAATTTCTAGTGCTAGGCCCATGATTAGGGCAATGACATTATAAAAGCTTCAGTGATATCGAAAACAAGGTATTAAGGGAAGTGCCTCTACTCTCCAATGGAAAAAAAAATTGTTACAGATCTACTCATTGGAGAAGCCATGTTCTTACACCCAACGAGTGCATGTAACAGTATATTTGCAGAACCTAAATAAATAAATAATAAAAATAACATTTTAAAGAATAAGAAAAAGAAAACTTTGATTCAGAAAAGTGGCATTATTTTATCCTAAAGATGCTAATGTTACGAGGAACTCAAATAACTAGTGATAATTGTCTTGTTCTATCTTGGCATTATTTTATCCTAAAGATGCTAATGTTACGAGGAACTCAAATAACTAGTGATAATTGTCTTGTTCTATCTTGATACTTGGACCTCGTATCCTAATGAGATGAGGCATCATGCATTGTCCAAATTGGAAACCTCTCACAAGATGAACATGTATGGCATGCAGTACACTTGAACATGTGCGATCCAACTTTCCGTATGAGACCAATTCCAGCAAATTTCCACTTAGTTAGAAGTTATACACTTTACTGGCAGTGGCATCAGATTATTTTGGTTCAACAGTCCACAAACTAAAATCTGTTGAGTTACTAGGCTGATGTTCTAGAATATTTCTTCTGAGAGAGGAGCAGTTCCATCAGCCTCACGTGATAGTGATAGAACCTCCTTTTAGGAGTGCTTCCGGAGTTGTTTTGTGAGTTTCCTAAATCTAGATTACTTATGAGTGAAGTCATGCAAAAATTAAAAAAATTTTGAGAGCGGGAGCGCCTTGAGAGTGTTATACTATATAAATATACACATATTTACATATATAAAAATTATTTTAAATACATTTTAAAAATTAAATTATATATATAAATATATGATATATTATTTAAATTTTATTAATGAATAATTTGACTTTTAAAAACTGCATAAAATAATATGGTGAATATGAAAGAAAAAACCTGAGGCATTGGATGCCTTGTTCACTGATGAAAAGCAATCCCACATTGACACAAAGTGGCATTCGTTAGCCACACACAACCTATAAATAAAGTTCATATGCCGTCTGCTTTAAGCTGGAGATTGGGCCCCGATTGTGAGGCTAAGTCCAATAGTTTATTAGAAAGCCTTGGTCCAAGGCTTGACCCATTAACTAGTCTAAAAGTTTTTAGTATTCGGGGAGTTAGCCCCAAACATGGCTGATATGCGAATCACAAATTTTAGATTTGCAAATTCAAAATTTTGAATTGGCGGATTTAGCCCGAATTCGCTTTGGATTTGCGAATTTGCGCTTCAAACGCCCAATTCGTTGAGTCATCTACACGAATCATGTGATCTAGGTCTTGAGTGCCTTTCAAAGGGAATGAATACGGAGATTCCGGTTGCTCACAAGTGGGAAGAAGCCTTTGGCATTGAAAGTTCCATTTGTATAGTAATGTTCTTTCTCAACTTGCTACACCAAATAAAGGTGAATATTGCACTTCTAAGGGAACACAAAAAAGGGCTTCATGTTGGATTTATTGATAGATGATGCTACTCTGGGAAGAATTGGACAGAGATACTTAACGGAAGGAGCTCATCCATATTCACATTTTTGGAAGACTGGTGCAAATGTTAGGGGTCATATTTGGCAGATCATTGCATTCCCTACGTGGGATGGAGTGCTATTTTGAAAGAGATTCAGCTGATCAGGAGATTATAGTGGTTGTAAGATTTTATTAACTGCATGCAGAACTCCATATATTTAGGAGCTGATTTGCATCAAGTTTGGGCCATTTCAATCCTTTGTAGATAGTGATCGTCCTTCGTTACTATTGATGGATAAGGGGGACATTGAGAATGGTTCTAGTGTAAAAAATTCTGATTTATACTTTGAGGTAGCAGCCAGCAGTTGCCACTATCAAAGAAGACTAATGGCTGACAACCTTAGAATGAAAAACTGATTAGATATGCTTTTCCTTTTAGCATGCGAAACAATTGCTTCTGTTTGAGGTAGTAACTAGCAGATGCTGCAATCGACAAAACATTAAATTGATATTGTAGTAAGAATGGAGAGACGGTGCAGATGTTGGGTCTATGATCATTTGCTCGTCCATCGTGACTCATATCCAATGTTTTCGAGGGCATGTGCTAGGGAGTTCTTCATAAGAGCGATAGATTCATCATCCCACAGCCTAGTTGGACCCTGGAGAGATGATTGGAAGCAGTGGTTGGGGCCGGAACATGCCACACAGTGATGTCGATCCATTGTTCAGGCGAAAAAACCCAACAAAACCACCCAAATCAAGATGGGTCACCCACAAAAAACTCCTTGAACCCCTCTTGTGCAAAATCATCCATCAAACACCTTCAAATTTGAAGGAGAAAGTAGATCGAAAAATCGGGTCTGAAAATTTGGAAAATCATTCAAAATTAGAAAAGTTGATCTAGATGACCTCAAAAAATTCTAAAAAAATCACCATAAACACCGGCGCAACTAGTCTATCATATGGGTAGAGTTGGGTTGTCAGAAAATGCTAATGTCATGTTGACATCGCTTTCTATTTTTTTTTTCCTCGTTTAATTGCTCTCGTAATTTGGCGAAACAATGCTCTGATACTGTTAAAGTAGTAAATCATAGGGTTTGAAGGGGGAAGTAGAAAGAGAGAGAGAAAGAGAGTAATAATATAAAATAAGAACTAAGTTGTCCAACACTTTTTTATTAATAATAAATGATGTGCTGGGTTAGTTACATTATTATTCTACACTAATAATATAAAATAAGAGCTCTAACAAGGACAAATGAATAACGTTGTTTCTTCTTCTTTTGGACATCTATGGGGCCAACTGCCATGATGATAACATGTATCAATGTCATACACTGTAGAGACACTCAACATTAATATGCAATGGATCTAGCAGAAAAATCCGTATAGCCAAATAACATGGCAATATTATGAAAAACCTTGCTCCTTATAGGTAAGTCCTAGACTATTGCTCATAATTTTGTCCAGTGAGTTCATTGGAAAATAACAGCTTTCTTTACTTGTGTTTCTTTAATGGGTAAAATGAAAAACACTAAAAAATCCATTGCTTCTATTTCATACTTCCCTCACTTCATAGCGACAAGAACAATATTTATAATGGGAGATTGAACACAAAACATATGTATAACGATGATCAAAGCATAATACGAAACACAATTATAAGAGATTTGTTGTGGAAAAGGAAAAATTCACAAAACCTGGTTCAAATAAATTCTTCCACCTGTCAGATGAAATGCTCTTTTCTCTAGTCGGGTGGATGTGCATACTTCACCACTAAAAGGCCAACTACAGGCAAAAATCCTCAAAATGAACTTCTTGCTGTTGCTCAAATCTAAAGAAGCCATTGGAAAGTTCAGTCAACAATCCAAACTGTGTATTTGTAATTAACTTAGGTTGCAACTTCTAAAATTTGACTGAAAACAGACTATAATGTGCTTTCTGCTACAAACCCAATCTGGGTTAATTTTCTTTTATGTTGGTCCCCTTACATGTCCTGTAGGTGTTAATGCTTGTCGTGCATTGGTAGTATATTGCCTCCCAAACTAGAGTGGGTCATGTTTTTTTCTTACCTACTGCCAATTTTTTTTTTGCGTTGACCTTTTAACACTTACTTCTTTTCTTAAATGATTTTTCGTCCACCGCGGATGCCCAAGAGTTCAAGTCCCAAGATTAAACAAGGAACCTTTTTCTCGAGGGAAAAAAAAAAANTAATAATATAAAATAAGAACTAAGTTGTCCAACACTTTTTTATTAATAATAAATGATGTGCTGGGTTAGTTACATTATTATTCTACACTAATAATATAAAATAAGAGCTCTAACAAGGACAAATGAATAACGTTGTTTCTTCTTCTTTTGGACATCTATGGGGCCAACTGCCATGATGATAACATGTATCAATGTCATACACTGTAGAGACACTCAACATTAATATGCAATGGATCTAGCAGAAAAATCCGTATAGCCAAATAACATGGCAATATTATGAAAAACCTTGCTCCTTATAGGTAAGTCCTAGACTATTGCTCATAATTTTGTCCAGTGAGTTCATTGGAAAATAACAGCTTTCTTTACTTGTGTTTCTTTAATGGGTAAAATGAAAAACACTAAAAAATCCATTGCTTCTATTTCATACTTCCCTCACTTCATAGCGACAAGAACAATATTTATAATGGGAGATTGAACACAAAACATATGTATAACGATGATCAAAGCATAATACGAAACACAATTATAAGAGATTTGTTGTGGAAAAGGAAAAATTCACAAAACCTGGTTCAAATAAATTCTTCCACCTGTCAGATGAAATGCTCTTTTCTCTAGTCGGGTGGATGTGCATACTTCACCACTAAAAGGCCAACTACAGGCAAAAATCCTCAAAATGAACTTCTTGCTGTTGCTCAAATCTAAAGAAGCCATTGGAAAGTTCAGTCAACAATCCAAACTGTGTATTTGTAATTAACTTAGGTTGCAACTTCTAAAATTTGACTGAAAACAGACTATAATGTGCTTTCTGCTACAAACCCAATCTGGGTTAATTTTCTTTTATGTTGGTCCCCTTACATGTCCTGTAGGTGTTAATGCTTGTCGTGCATTGGTAGTATATTGCCTCCCAAACTAGAGTGGGTCATGTTTTTTTCTTACCTACTGCCAATTTTTTTTTTGCGTTGACCTTTTAACACTTACTTCTTTTCTTAAATGATTTTTCGTCCACCGCGGATGCCCAAGAGTTCAAGTCCCAAGATTAAACAAGGAACCTTTTTCTCGAGGGAAAAAAAAAAAAGAAAAGTTGTAACCCTGTTATCATTTATGATATTGCCTTTTGAATTGATTGCAGCTGCATTTTGAAAACAATTGCCTGCAATGGGATCTGGTTGTTGGTTGCTTCTGAATGCACCTTTGATCCTTACATGTTCTCGTAATTCTTTGGGTATATATATTTGTTTATTGGCTCTTATGTCTTCTTTACTTGGTTCAATTTTTATAGTTTTAATATCTTAATTAAAATTTGTTGCTGATGGATTTTTCATTTTCAAACTTGCTGCACAGTTGACCCTGCGTAGGGTAATGGATACGGCGAAGCAAGTTACTAAATCTGGAAGCTTGAATGAGTTTTCAATGGTCTTGCTTAATAACACCCTTTCGTTACCCCTGGGCATTGTGCTTGTTTTGGTCTTCAACGAGATGGAATATCTCTCTAGAACGTGAGCTTGTTTTCTTTATTTTGGGTTCTTTATAGTAACATTTTGACCAAGTTCTACAAATTAGAATATATTTCTAGTACCATACTACTGAGTTGTGTGTTCCACTTATATATCCAATATCTACTATGAGTTGCTTTTTCTTTCTGTTTTTTTAAGTTATGATTAGTTCGTCTTATTGTAACTGCAGCACCTCACTGCACCCTTGGTAGAATTTATGGGTATCAGCAGGGTCAGCCTTTGCCATTATCCATCTTTTACCAATTTTTCTTATTGACTTGTGTACTTTTAATATATTGCAGACCACTTCTAAGAATTCCCACTTTCTGGTTGGTGATCACAATGAGTGGGTTTTTGGGTCTAGCAATCAGCTTCACTTCTATGTGGTTTCTTCATCAAACAGGAGCCACTACATACAGGTAAGTGATGTCCACTTGCATTTAGAAGTTTCTTGGGTGGAAGTAGGGGTTCCAGCTCATTTTATTCCGATTGAATTATGTGTTCTTTGCATCATTATTTGACATTTTGGTTGAGAAAAATGCTTGATCAAAGTGAGGTTGGGTCAGGTTCAAATTGAGTTAGGGTTAGATTGATAAAAATGCTTGATCAAAGTGAGGTTTGGTCAGGTTCAAATTGGGTTTGTTCAAAGTAGCCTTGATGAATATCCAGCTGGTAAACTAGAGCCTGTGCACTGATATTTTGTTGATTCTGTGATAACGTTTGTGGATATTTAATATAAGATCTTGCACTTCTAATAAATTGGATTTCCTTTTCTTTACTATTGACAGCCTTGTTGGTTCACTTAACAAGATTCCACTCTCAATTGCTGGCATCCTTCTTTTCAATGTCCCTACCAGTTTGGAGAACTCTGTCAGCATATTCTTCGGTAGTTTTTTCTCCATTCAACTAAACCAAAAGGTGTAATCTCCTCCACATTTTTTTCAAATATATGTACTGAAGAAGTTTTTTGCAGGTCTTCTAGCTGGAGTATTTTTTGCTAGAGCAAAAATGCAGGAGAGATCTCAACCTTAACCTCTTGCGGACACTGAGGATTTCATGGAGTATTACCAAGGATGTTGTATCATTTTCTCTTGTGACATCTTGAACAAATATTTGAGGGCAGATTTTGCCGTAGTAGTAAAGTTGCTTCATTATGATTTGGGCTTTTATGTGTTCAAATTCTGCAATCAGTTTCTCTGCATGTAGGAGTAAGATTGACCCTTAATAGATTTTGTAGTGGTAGAGTTGCATGCACCAGCAGGTTATGCGTTTTGGAGTGCCCGGTACAAGAGAGATTCTGTCCAAACTTTGTATTGTTGTGATCCTGGTAAAGTGGATGTTGTGCTGTGGTGTCGAGTTATGCGGCATTCACGGGGATTTTCGCAGGTTGATGGATGATCAACGAGTTGATAAAGGACCTTCGGTTTTAGGGGCGTCACAATATTGATTGTTGTCATTGCATTTTTGCTTCGTAATGCTATTATAGGGGGTGCTCCACGAAGGGGGTACTAGGCCAATTTCCCTAGGGACCCTTATGCCTCGAAGCCTTGGCACACCAAAACAAGGCATGACATCATCAAATGTTTGCCATGGGTGAGGCAATGCATTCCCAAGTCTGAGACCCAAAATGTGAGACCGATGAACGAAGGGACCTGTCGTTGGCAAAAACCTCAAGAATGGTTGAGGAAGGCAGCTCATGCATGAGCACGTTAGGCATAACTAGTGGGTTAATTGAAGACTTATGCATGGTTGAGGGAAGCTCATGCATGGGCACGTGAGCACAAAAAAGCAGGCAAGCAAAGGTTAGCTGGGGTGACTTAATTTGTGGGGCATTGCTAGCTTGGAAGACTAAGTCATGAGCTGGGCATTGGCTGAGACTGAGTGAGGATCTCAGTGCCATCACGAGGCCAAATTTTAAGTGAGAAATTGACCCCGTGACAATAAACAAGTTGGAAATCAACCCACATCATAGAACAATAAATTCTAAGATCGATTTTCCTTTTAAGACCATTCTAAAAGATTTTCCTTTTACATGGCATAGGAGGGTTAATTAGGTGTTTTAAGAAGCCCAAATATCTTCTAGTTACCATTAAAACAAAATAGAAAAAAGTCCAACATATGCTATAACCTATGGATAACCATCCACTTTTGAGAGCAATGACATAGTCCAAAATTTCAGGGGTCCATTACTAATCTTAATGGATATGATCAGAACTATTATTTAACACTTACGGATCTTTATGGCAAATGATTAAGTTTAACAATAGAACTAACAGTAATGATAACAATCAAATCAACATGAATAAAAATTGAATAGGAACTAAGCAACATGCAATTTAAATATGAGTATGAAATCGAAGCTAAAAGAACCAGTAAAATAACAGGTAAACATGAAATCATAAAATAACATCAAGCATGTAATATTGAGCAGAACATACATAATAAAATTTAATGGGAAGAGCTAGCCTGTGAGGGTCTATGAGGTGCGTAAAAAATGTTGTCCTAAAGCGGCTGTGGCTCCCCACGTGAAGGTGCCAACGATGACAATGACTCCAAGATCCAACCCCCAGTCTCAGGGTAGCAACTCCTCAAGATTAACATACGATGAGAAGTTGGGGGTGAATCCAACTCTAATCGAGTTGCCCAAAACAAGGTAATAGAACGTACATGAGGTATATAGGAATACTTCAAGAAATATATATGCGAAAAGGAAGCTATTTGCTAGTCGAGAAAGGAATTGAGCTATGGCAGAGAGTTTGGCAAGGTAAATGATTGTTGTTGCTATGTCAAAAAAGCTTCCACCAGTTGTCTTATATAGCCAGTGGAATTTCCATGAGAAAATCCAGATTTTAATGCAATTGATAGCCAGCTTAAAATGCATTAAAGAATGGAACGTTGGGTCTTGAATGGAGCATTTGTTTTGCCACTAAAATCTGCGTAATAAAATCTGCACTAACTGAAATTGATCATCGTAAAGTAACCGAAATCCCAAAAAGTAATTTGATGAAAAAACAAAATGTGAAAAATAACAAGAAGTTTAAAAACTTTATTTTAAAATATTAACCAAGAACAACTACCATGGCTTCTCGGAAATTCTGGACTTTTGCAAACCAGATTTTCGACATTATTGGAAGATTGGATTTTCAAATTAAACACACATATATAGAATGGAATACGGTGGCTAATTCTTGGGCAAATAAAGGAGTTGTAGATAGGGATTGATCTACACATCTCAGGCCTCGGACAAGAGATGACACACGCTTCACAAGGAGGCTTAGAAATGGCGTACTTATTGCACTTAGCACTATGAACTCGAGTGCTGCTGCTGCTATGGGGGAGATTTTTGAAAAGACAGGAAGTGCAATTGGACTTGAACTCTCCCTCTAGTATCAAGACTCTTTCTTTAGGATCTAAGAGTCTTACGCAAGAAGACCTCTGCTTCAAGATAACTTGGGAAACCAGTCCATTAATAGATTGTTTATCATGAAATAGTTTTGTTATTTTATTCAAAAGTTGTATTTTTCAATTAAGGGGTAAGGTTACCATATCTCCCCCCCCCCCCTAATTTGTTGTAACCTTTTAGCCCATCAATAAAGTTTTACTTAAAAATAATTAAAAAAAAAAAAAAGTTAAAAGCCCCATAAAGTTGTGTGGTGAAAGAAGCCATAAAAAAATGAACTTGTACCAACTATTTTAGAACCGAATGACACAAATCAGACTATTAACTTTCACAAAAGGATCACACAATCAAACAATAGTCACATTTTTGTGTCAATGCAAGAAATCAAACAATGTCTACTGTGAAAACCAAAGGGAATAAAGAAGAAAAGCAATGGACCAACACACAAGCACAAATCAAATCTAAATTTTCTGAGAGACATTTTATCAAACAGATTATAAGAATGAGCAATCCATTAAAGTTGCACAACACACAATCTTATCACGCCATTTATTACAGTAGAATAAGGTACAAAACAACTCTCCAATGTCAAAATTGCAATACAGCAATGTGTGGTATTAACCAGGGCTCCCAGAAGAGTAAACAAAGAGATGAATAGAGAGACAGAGAGAGAGAAACAAATCTATCAAATATATTCCACATAGTATAGAAATCCGAAAATTCGTACGTGTTCGAGATGGGCTGAGATCTCCAATGACTCTAAAAGAATGAAGACAAAAGAGAGAACAATGCTTTCAAGGTTGTTGTTGATCGGCCAACGCTCCGGCGTCATTGTCAATGGTCGCTAAAGTGGAAGAAGCCCTTTAGTTTATCACAGCAAGAGGATATCAAGGGAGTTGCGATGGTGAGGAGAAAAAAAATAAAGACAAAAGTGAATAGGCCGAAGTGAATTGGGATAAGTAAAAATTTTATTTTTGGACTTATTAAGTTGTAAAATAGTTATAGCTTTTCTATAATTACTTTTAATAACTAATCTCAAACACTACTTTTTTTTAAGGTGTTTGTGATAAATCAAAAATCCAAAAAACACTTTCTGTAAATCAATCCAAACACACTCTTAGTTTTTCAAATCGAATCAAATTATCAAATTCTGTATCCAATTCTTAATGGATCCATACCTACACTTTGAAAATAAAATTTGTTAGATGATTGAAACGGGATGGAGATTGACTCAAATCCAATTCATATACAATCCGCCGACATTTTGGGTGTCAACTGGACTGTTGGATGGAAAAAGAAGATATTGGGCAGGCTGATACCATTTTAACCCTAACTAATATACTGTGGTATACCTGTATTCCTGATTACAAACGTTCAAATGCTCTTACATTTCTAGTGCCCCAGAATTCAATTGGGGAACGCACTTCGAAGGCTAACGATCCTAAACACGAAACTCCCAGGGTACCACCCAGAGGGCCGTTGGTCTTGGCTATCTCATGCATGAGCTTTGTGTAATGGATCGTGTACCTAAAACCAATCAGCTGATCTCTGAGACCTGAAAACCCTCGCCAACCGGTCACCAAATCATCGTATCATCCTTTCAAGAGATTTTATTGGCCACGGAACTAAATCTTTCCAAAAAATAGCATAAACAGTTTTATATCTTCTGACAGTAGTTGATTAAGCAGGTTATTCTGTTGTTTTATATCGAGATCTTATCCTGTAGCTAGCTAGCAGCACCTTTGACTAACATGGGAAAAAATAAAAACAAATTTACACAATCTAACTAGGTTCACGAAGCTTAAATCAAACAAACGGCGTACACCTGATCCTCACTTTTAAGGAAGGAGTGAAGACTACATCATCTTACTTCAGTATCACACAACCAAAAGGCAGTAGATAATCTGGAAACAAATTCAAATGCTTCTTACAGGTTGAGCGGTTCATAATAATCTTAGGTGATACATCTTGGAGGTTAATTTTTCTCTAATCAAAAATTAAAAATACAAACAAGCTATGGCCGGCCACCAACTGACATTCCCGGAAAGTAACACCAATAAACATTTCACAATCATCCGTGAAAAAATTGTTCACACAGTGCCTTTGAATTTGGCATCATATTCATATGGTTGCTGCACCCAAACACACAAGAAAATGAGTCACATATCCAAATGTAACACAAAGTGTTCACTAGAGATGAAATGCTACAGGTAATGCAGATTAGCAAAAGCTGGATCAAAGCATGTACAGAAAAAGATAACAAAAGGAAGTACTTGACAAAGATTCAAAGTTATACAGCCCAACATCCTAAAAAATTGATGTTGAAATGATGGTTGCAGATGAATGCAACCCAATAAGAAATGAACATTATGGCATAGGCTTTTTAGTGTCTTATTTATTTTGTTAAGGAGAACTTTTCATCGTTATCTGGGGAAAAGGAGGGGGGTTTATTGGACTCAAGTCCATGCCAGCCTGCAAATGCATAGAATCGATCAAAGGACTAGGAAAACTAGACCGCATTACTTTGGCATGTTTGTTATGGAGTGTGCATGGGACATCACGTTTGGGTAGGGGTGATAAACGAGCCGAGCTTGGGCAAGCCTTGGTGTGCTCAGGCTCAGCTAGTAATTTTTGAGGTCTGCTCAAGCTCAGGCTCGGTTTGTCTAAGCTCGGTTATTAGTGCGAGCTCAAACCCTGAGCTTAGGCTCGAACTAAGTAAGCAAAACGAGCCTAAATTCTGTTCAAGCTCAAGCTTGAATTACAAATTGAATGAGCTTGAGCGAGCCAAACAATGATCCAAGCCCGACCCGAGCCAGCTCGTTTCATTTAACACCCCTACGTTTAGGTAGGCTTTTGTGATTAGTAGTGTCAAGTGTTGTTAATGAAGGTGTATTTGCGGGTATAGATTATTTTTTTTTCAAAATGGACAAAGAATGATTCTTAAAAGACCTAAAACAATATAAAAAACAGAACACACTTGAAAGCAGAATCAGTAATTAAAATTGTTAAGTGGGGCAAAAACATGGATGGAGAAGTTGACTTTTGAATGGAAAGTCCACAGTGCATTTTGGTTCAGAGGAGGTGGGCTATACAAAAAGTCACCTCCTGACCATAGACACTCGCTACATGATATCTAATCAAATCAATTCAGGTGGTCTTCAATCAAGGTGCTGTTTGGAAAACTGCAGAGCTGGACCTTAAACATAGAAATGTAGAATACCGGAAGCCTTTCTCCACAGCAACGGACATGATTTTGAGATCCAATACTTATTAACTCCCTCAATGTCAATGAAAAAGGAAAAGCACTCAAAACAGATTTTAATGGCAGCATCATTGATAAGCATGTCAAGTACCAATGCAAGTCGAGCAGATTGAGTGATAAAACCAGGCGCAAACCAGGATAGGAAACCTTCAACCCAAGTACTGCTCGAACTATGCTTCAAGCTGAGTTCTGCCTCTGTCTGGATTGTTGAACTCAGCACAGAATTAAATTCCGGTTGCTTGAGTAAGCAATTATGTGGGTGTGGGTGTGCACAATGAAAGCACACCACAAAAGTGGGTTTCCTAACAACCAGTCAAACAAAAATCAATAGTCCCGATGATGCGAAATTTGTAATCAAACCCGTTTGCAAATCCACCCAAAAAATCATTTACCACAAAATCCGATCGACCTTAAATTTACCAAAAAAAATCCAACGGAAAACCTTTTCAATATTTACTAAAAATCTGCCAACAACATGCCCCTAAAAATGGGGCAAAAAATCTGTCAAAAAAATTGCCATCCAAATAAACACACCATTTCCTACTGAAACCAACAATCAATCAAACACCCCAAATCAAATCTGCAAGATTCTTTTTGGAGACCATATAGCCAACACAATGGCAAAAAGGAATCCTTGAAGGATATGCAAGGTGCGGTGGTGAGACCGATTGTGTGAGTCTGAGTGAGGGGGAGAATATGTGTGTGTGTGTGTGTGTGAGAGAGAGAGAGAGAGAGAGAGAGAGT